GAAGGATGCTTGAATAGCAAGGTCCAGCTCGACCTGATTCAAGAGAAATTCGCAAATGCAGCATTAGTCCAAAAGCCGGTTGACGTACTTGTTAAGTGTGGAAACGTCAGCAATCCCAAAGAAACTCACGATGAGTAAAAAGATCTGGAAACATTGCTTAAGGAATATTTCCGAGGAGGGAAGTTCGCAAACACAAGTGACAGACAAAGTGACGTGAAAATAAGAACACTGTTTAATAAGAGGGGGGAGGCTACTATAACAATTACTATAAAACTACAATGAAGAAATCAGTTGACGATTGAGGGGCGTTCGCTATATGGTGGTACAAGACCCCACATCTTTTAAAGTGCTAAGTATTAGATGAAGGTATCCAATTTGCCCCTCCGAAACAGGGAGGGGGACAGCGCTAAACGAAGCGGCTTGCACATAGTCTGAGAACTGTTGGATGAACCCATCGAAAACAAAAAATCAAACGTCCAACCAATCTGGACCGCCGAGAGCTGGCTTATACCAAATGAGACGTGGATTCTGAGGCTGGCTATGTATCCTGTGCGAGCTAATCACACTGCTGATCACCTGCCCGCGGCCGTGAACGATTAGGCGTTCAAATTACTAACCGGGGGATCGCAGGTTCGAAATTCCCCCTACTATGGATGAAACAGCAGTACAGTACTGTTGAGTTTTTAAACGTAGAATAGTTTCACTGACAGGACGAAACCTCAATTCAAAGTAGTGAGACGGGCGAGATGTTCGAGCAAGGTTCCTGCCTCACGAGAACATACAACTGGATGATTCTGAAGAACAGGCCACGACTGCTGTACATTGGTTTGTAGCTTCCAAAAAAGGATACAAAAAACAAAGCCCGTCGAAATGTCTCGAATTTGCACGAATGACCTTGTGTTTGGAGTCTGTTGTTTCTCGTGCATAAGCATGCTGTTTCAAGGTCCCATGGCTGCAAACGGGGAAAAAATACAAAACAGTAATCAGTCATTTGGACAAAAATTGAACAAAGCTGTTTTGGCATGAAGTTTCTACAGACTATCGCAGATTTTATACCGGGCTAGCGGTATGTGGATCGAATCTAGACAGACAGACGGCTAGGTTTTTTCTAGGCTAACTCGTAATGAGTGTACCTATTACTTGAAGAGGTTTTACGCCCACCATGTGCATAACCAAATCACTGATTGCGTAGTGGCTGATGATAGGTCTCCAAACGACATAACACTGCCTAGTTGCTTGGTAACGAAGCCTTTGGAGCAGAGGTAATTACTGCGGTAGTTGCAGTGAACCGATTCCGCACCGGAGAACTGTTTTCTAACCAGAAAACGATTTTCTGAGGTTCTGATCTTCAAATGGATCATGAATAGTATACTACCGTACTGCTATATTGTGTTATACTATCGTACTACACACCAATGGTCATAGACAAGAGCGAAATAGAGCCATTTGAAAGTTGGAGGCTAACTTACAGTCCAGTAAACTGAATGAACAGCAGGCAGTTAATTGTCACCGACGAGTTCAATCAAAACCTACCTACTTAGTCTATCAGCAGGGCTATTTCTTTAACTCCTTATAAAATTAAGTCAAAAATGGACCTTTTACCGTTCAAAACAAAATCTATCGCTGTTTCACACTTGTTCCGTTTAGGTGGCTGTTTTCAGCAACTTTGTGAGTAGTGTATCACGTCTATACGATATACTGCGATATATCGAATGCCGTTCCAGCTGAAACATGCGGTTGCCTGGTGCAGGAGATTATATTAAGAACATCATGAACGAGAGATTCAGACAGGATTCAGGTGAGTCCTCCGTTAAAACCAAACGCAGATGAGATATAAGTCAGATAGAAGAAACATCTTTCAACTAGTCAGTTGAATCGGATGCGGCGTTGAGACCATATGTTGAATCAGATGCGGCATTGACACCATGAAATGTCACCACTGGAAAGCGTGGCCAGTGAGGTGGAAACGAACGACTGTTCAGTGAAAAACTATGTGTACGTTAACCAGTGGTATATGCAGTGGAGCGCATAGCGGCATGCGTCGTACCTGCCTATGGCATTGAGCGATGCATCAAGCCAGAATAAGAAAACCATCTACAGTGGTCCCTTCCAAACACATCATCGAGAAAAGACAGAAAATGGGTCGTTGTTAGGGCCTACGCAATCTTCCGGGTTAGAAGTATGGGATATCGTTTTCAGAAGGATCTCCTTCGACAGGTCAATTTACTAAAAGTTCACGACGGAAGCCCAACAACGGGTCAGTTGTGTACCAGAAAAATTTGCACCATAAGTAATCTTCCCAAGAAGGGTTTATCGGAAAAGGCTTAACTTCTCTGGAAAGTCAACATTAATTTTCAACTTTATTCAGTCACCATTTAGTATAAAAAATCGTTCAGCTGTAACACCCTTCCGGTGCC